TGAATTCAACTACTGTAAATAATTTGCCATGCTTTTTGTGAGCTCAAAGGATTCAATGGCAACCTTCCACAGAAGCAGCAGGGGGAATTAGTTTACTTGGAAACGTGTGTGAGTGTATATACTGCTGGTGTATATATTAGATGATTGGATAATGAGGTGTTAGCAAGGAGAGGCTACTACAGCTAAATATCTGTGGTTTATTCTCAGTATTATTATTATTTTTTTCATTCAAGAACATGGGTGCTAATTCAGTGAAATATGCTGCAGGAAAAGAGTAGATAAGGAATACAAAATAATTCGCTACATACTGTTGTTGTATTTCAAATTGATTAGTGATTTTTCTGGATCCGCTCAGGCTCTAGCAGAATTGTTAAAAACATTTTGATTAAAGTATGTTATTGGGTTTTCTATTTAGAGTTTAGGGAAATATTTATAACTTCATTCCTTGCAACTTTATTCCAAGATATTCTTATTCGGATGGATTTGGATTTAATCAGAATATATTCTTAAGAATGCATTATTAATTCTGAATGGAGCCAGTAGGTCTCCAGTTATGACAAGTTTCAGAAATGTAATAATCTGATGGCATGTTGTAGTTCTTTGATGGCAATTTTAAGGTTCTTTTTTTTTTTTTTAGCTTTACCATAACAGTGATAATTAATAAAAGAATTGGCTTAAACATGAGAAGAACCTGGGTGGTTTTCTGTGCTTTATTCTTTAAAATAAATGGATAAGAGGTTTTTTTTTCCTGACACATAGTTTTTCTAACACATAGTTTTCCTCAATACAGAGATTGTACTTATTATGCTACCTACGTGACTTTTTACTATTTTGTAAAAAAAATGTTTTTATACTACAAATAAAAGGAAATGGCCATGTTTTACTTAAGATCATACTAGTACCATAGCAGAGATTGATCTGGATCTAAATGATAACCCAATACACTCCAGAACTAAGCCCATAATGATGCTAGTTTTTGTCTTTCCATCACCTCCAATCTCTCCCTGTGTCTCTCTGTGTCTCTGTCTCTGTCTCTGTCTCTGTCTCTCTCTCTGTCTCTCTCTCTCTGTCTCTCTCTCTCTCTCTCTGTCGGGAAGAAAAGGACTAAGACAGAGAATTCAGCCTTCTTAATTGTAAGCCTCATTAGTGATGGTTGCCAGGCAAATACACACCTATGAAAGAGGTAAACAATACGTCATAGATCATAATGACTCTTGTGCTTGGGGCAACCTTTAATTATTATATTTTTTGTTCTCTCTTACCTTAGCTATTAGAGAAGAAAAACATTTTTCTTCTGCAAAGAACATTAATATTCTGATGCCTAAATTATATTTTAATTAGTTCACCATTGCATGTAATCACCACTCTTTTATGTTTTCAGTAAATCTGAATCACTATTTGTGGATTGTTCAGTTTGGTGTCATTACTAGAATTAATGAAAAGGCTGGTCAACTGTATAGTAGAGTCTACTTGTCTAGCTTCAATAGCAGCATGACAATGGTATATGAAGCAAAGCATTGATTCTTGGCATAAGAAGTTCAACAACCTACAAACAGATTGTCTATCAGAGCCATGTAATCCAGTATCATGTTTATGATCATGGCTAGCTACATTTCTAAAGGCATAAGATGGGCATAAGATGGGCATGAGGACACAAGTCCTATCTGCTTTTGTTCACATGGTTCAGAATCAGAATGTATATATATATATCTCCCCCCTCTTTTCTGTGTATGTGTGTGTAATGTATCTTAGAGGTCAGTTATATTAGAGATCATATGACAATAAGCTCCTATTGATAGTTTTATTTTTTGTCAATTTATTGAGTACCTTTTGAAAGTCAGAAGTTAATGTGCATCACTACATCCCCTACAATCAAAATCCATAATTTAATTATAAACAGTGTCAAGAAGCAACATGTGAAGAAATAATTTTTATTTATTTATAAGCATGGCTTCGGAATTACTGAAAGAATTAAACTTTGAGTTTATCCTGATTTAGGGGAATGCAAGAAGCCATTCTTCAACATTGGTGGATGTAGGGTAAGTACAAGGCATCTCATAGAATACAGTATCATTACACACACATCATAACCTTTGCAATTCACTGAGTGTCTATATTAATTTTTCTTTTAAGATGCACAGAGCATGGAAGAGAGAACTCTTGTTCTGTCCCGTGGTAAGGATATATAGCTGAATTCAACCTACTGATGTTTGTGGAGATTCTTAGTCATCCATGTCATGGTTGTCCGAAAGGTGCTTTTTTCAAGAGGCAACTAGACTTTCTGGTTTTGCTTTGAAGATGTTTCGCTTCTCATCCAAGAAGCTTCTTCAGCTCTGACTGGATGGTGGGAAATGGATGAGAAGTGAAACGTCTTCAAAGCAAAACCAGAAAGTTCAGTTGCCTCTTGAAAAAAGCACCTTTCGGTCAACCTACTGATGTATACGTCTTAAAGTAAATAAAATAATTATTATTTGCAGGAGATCTTAATTTCTTGCCCAAGTAGCTTATAACTCGACATTAGACCAACTAATTAGGCATCATGTTCTCCATTAATGGTATTTTTGTATTTCTGTTTCAATGTTAACAAAATATCGGTTATGATGCCTATACTCTGAAGTTGTTCTTCCCAGAAGATTCAAGTGCCCCACTTTCTTATTGTTCTGAAAAGCTATAAATCTAACTTTTATTTTTCAAGCAGTTATCTCCATGTTTGTTCTTTCTGTAATTTAAGGATTAGCATTGTGTCTTCTAATTTTTATTGTATTATTTGTTCTGCTGTGGAAGATCATATACCGGTATGTGGCAAAAAGTGGCCTATTAACAGTATAAATAAACACTGTTTTTACCTAAAAAGAAAGCAGTGCTGAATTTAATATAATGTTTTCAACTCCCAAAGGAAGATTAGGCAGGAAAAACCCCTCTGATCTGTATTATTTAAAAACCATTACTACATTGTCAGTGACAAGTTTTCTATTTTAAATATAAATTATTTGGGAAAAATGTTATCTCTTTTTCAGTTAAATGTAACATGTATTGCTTTATACTATTAGAAATATATCCATCATTACTATACAGATTTGTTAGGTATCAGTGGCACTTTCAATAAAAGTAACTGGGATTGGATTTGGCCTTAAGTAAATCCTAGATAAATATCAGATGTTAGATGCTTGAATATGCAACCTGCAGTGGTTGACAATGTTTTATTTTAGAGAATTGAAATTACTTTTCCCTTTGTACTCTAACATTTTTAGGAAAAAAAGGATGAGGAGACATACTGCTTTAATATGATGCATTAAGGCCCAGGCCAGTGAGTTGTGCAAACTCGTAGTAAATTCTTTACAAAAACTACCATTGATCATGTTTTAAGGACTATGCAAACTTACATGCATAATGTATATTTTTCCCGATGATTTCAAAAAAGCCAAAGTAAAAGAAAATCGAACTGAAACAGAAAAAGCTGTTAGCAAATAAATAGGAAAGAATAGAAAAGGGCTGAACGTTGCAGATGTTATATGTTATAAGAAATTTAAGTCAAAAGCAAATAAGGAAGGAACAACCTTCTTTTTAAAGTGGAATCGGAAAAGCTAATGCATTTTAATGGGATGAATCCGAAGGACAAAGAAACCATGAAAAATAAATAAATATGGTCGTGTGCGGAAAAAAATGGTGCAAAGAAAGCATTGCAAATTAAAAAGCCATGTAAATGTGTGCCTACCATTTTCCAGATAAGAAGGGGCCGTACCTTCTGAGGGGTCAAGGCGGCGAGCCCGCCTTCCATGTTTGGAGTTGTTGTGTACAAACATGTTGTCTGAGACAGCCAGAACATGGCCATCCACATTGACTGTTGTTGATACAACAACCTAGGAGGGAAAGAAAGAAAAGAAAGACATTTCTTTTTTTTTTTTGAAGCATACAGACTCTGAAAATGGGGTGCACCTATTGCAATAAACATGCTGAATAAATGTATAATGTAGTTTGCTATTTTTAAGAACACAGTGTTATTCATAGATGCAATTCAGTCGCCTTTTTTTTTTTTTTTTGGCTATCGCTGGAGATTTTCCTACACACAATTCCCCTCCCTTCTTCAACACCCTCCACACTAATTAGAGTTTAATCTCCTATTATGCTAACAAATGAATTCAATTCTAGGAAAATATTCTTCTAGTCATTTGTTTCAGAAACACCCCTCTAACCACTCATTTTAAAAGCTACTGTTTTGATTGATCTGTTGATATATTGATTAGATAGTTTATCTAATTAAAATTTGTACACTTGAGACTGTCTTCAAATGAAGAATTGTGAGCACTCCAAGTCAAAGGGGAAAATACTTCATAAATCAGTAGCTATGTGTAACTTTCTGCTGTTCTTTTCAGAAATGATCTTTAGGTCATTTTTGCTATCGTATTTACAAAGCAATCTTATAAATAGGTATTATGGGACAAGGAATTTCCAAAAATAGAAAAATTGTCTCATTTAAAGATTGAAAAGGAAAAAAAGAAATGGCTCTCCCTCCCACTGTAATAAACATTACTATTGCTGGGCCTCGTATAATTTGTCACATAATACAGAAATATTTCGGGTTACAGGATGCCTTTGTTTTTATAGATCTGGCCTTTTAGCTTCTTCATGCAAGTCACATGGAACAATTTTTTTGTGCTTTCTAGAACTTGAGAAAAAGAAATCTATAACAGATATTAAAACCTTCCTTGAGATTATATGATTGTAGCTATTGTAGTGCACCATCAAAATATCCTAAAATATGAATGCTCTAACAGATTCATTAGCAAGGTAGAAACAGACATAAGGAGGTGTTTATATCCCTTCATCGTCTTCTTTTTTTAAAGAATATGCTTTCTTTCTGCATATTTCTGCAGTAGAGAAATATTCTTTCTATCTATATACAATTATCTCACATCAGGCGAGGTCTAGGAGACCATTGGATCTTTCAGATCCAAATATTCAATTAACAGAATCAGATTTCATGCAAATTCTAAATTTTTGTTTTTCGTCATTCTGAAGAGGGAAAAAAGATTCACAAAATGCTGTGAAAAGATTAAACTATATTGGATTTGCACATCTTATCAGAACAATTCACAATTCACCAAACAGAACAGATCACCAAAGGGAGAAGTGATCAATCGCTCTCCAAAGAACTTTCAGAGGTTCTTTGCAGATGACTGTAAGTGGTGGGAATAGCCAACATCCCAGAAAACAAGTTCAGAGTCCAAAAAGATCTTGACAGACTTGAACAATGGCCCCTATCCAACAAAATGAAATTTAATGTGGAAAAAAACCAAGATTTTACATCTAGCAGGAAAAACCAAAGGTACAAGTACAGATTAGCCAAAACCTGGCTCAAAAACAGTAACTGTGAGTGGGACCTTGGAGTCCTAGTGGATGATCAAATATGAGTTAGCAGTGTGCGGCAGCAGTTTAAAAAAGCTAACATAAACCTTGGTTGTATAAACAGACGCATAGAATCAAAATCACATGAAGTTTTAGTACCGCTTTATAAAGCCTTAATAAGACCACACCTGGAGTATTGCAACCAGTTTTGGTCACCAGATTACACAAAAAGATGTTGAGACTTTGGAAAAAGTCAAGAGCAACTAAGATGACTAAGGGCCTGGAGACAAAAACACATGAAGAACAGTTGCAGGAATTGAGTATGGCCAGTCTTGAGTAAAGAAGGATTAAGGGGTGATATGATAGCAGTATTCCATTATTTGAGGGGATGCCACAAAGCATCAGAAGGCAAGACAAGAAACAATGGCTGGGAACTAGTCAAGGAGAAAAATAACCTGGAATTAAGGAAAAACTTCCTAACTGAGGAAAATTAACCGGTGGAATAGATTGCCTTCAGAAGTTGTGGGCCCTTCATCACTGGAGGTTTTTAAGGGAAGCCACCCTGAAATGGTATAGGGTCTCCTGCTTGATCAGGGATTGGACTAGAGACCTGCAAGGTTCCTTCCAGCTCTATTCTGATTGTTTGAATGCGTTCTTAATGTCTGATAACTAACGTTTTCTGCAACTGAAAACAGCATATTGAATATCAGAAATGTCTTCAGTCACTTCTAATTCAAAAAAGTAGACATAATCAGCTTAATTCATACGTTGATGACAATGACTTTTCCTTTTTTATCTTTAATCGGAGCTCTTCTATTTCCAGAGTCAGAAGCACATTGACCAACCAAAAACTAAATAGATCCAAACCTGTCTATTGCTACCCTGTTTCCCTGAAAATAAGACATCCCCTGATAATAAGCCCAATCGGGCTTTTGAACACATGCACTAAAATAAGCCCCCCCTGAAAATAACCCCTCCCTGAAAATAACCCCTCCCTGAAAATATTTAACCGCATTAATGCCAGTCCCCGCCATTTCCTCTGGTTAGGGTTAGGGAGACAGAACTGGAAATCAGGTAAGATGGCAAGAGGAGCCCCGTCTTGTTCCATGCGCTCCAAAATAATAAGATCTCCCCAAAAATAAAACCAAGCGCTTATTTCAGGGTTCAAAAAAATATAAGACAGGGTCTTATTTTCGGGAAAACATGGTATTTCTCTGTCCACCACAGGAAAATGGTGAATAAGGCTTTCTGACTGTTTCTTAGCACAAATTTTAAAATGAATACTTACAAAAATGAAAATTCTTGCATTAACATCTATCCGTTAGATGTTAGGTGCCATTCTACTGTAATGATCAATTAATTATCATTATAATGAAAGGCCTTTCCTATTGCATCTACATATACACTTACAAGATACTTTCATATGTTGTATTTATTGTAAGGATCCTATATGTGCTTATAAGTCTACAAATTAAACTTAGAGAATTATATCAAAAACTGAGACAGAAACTTCAGTGACAGCAATGTGTATAGTAGTTAAGGTATTGGACTAGGACCAAAAAATCCAGATGCACCTTCAACCATGGATACTCATAGAGAGATGAACTGAATGGAACCACATCCTTATTCTCTATCCAAATACCTTACAGCAGGGGTCCCCAGCCTGGGTCCGCAGCCTATACTGGTCCATGGCTTGTAAGGAACTGGCGCACACAAGCAGCAGGAGTGTGCACGAAGCTTCATTTGCACATGCACAGGATCTAGGGCAGGGGTGAAATCCAGCAGGTTCTGACAGGTTCTGGAGAACCGGTAGCGGAAATTTTGAATAGTTCAGAGAACTGGCAAATACCACCTCTGGCTGGCCCCAGAGTGGGGTGGGAATGGAGATTTTGCAATATCCTTCCCCCAGGAGTGGGGTGGGAATGGAGATTTTGCCGTATCCTTCCCCTGGAGTGGGATGGGAATGGAGATTTTGCCGTATCCTTCCCCTGCCACGGCCACCAAGCCACACCCACCAAGCCACACCATACCCACAAAGCCATGCCCACAGAACAGGTAGTAAAAAAATTTGGATTTCACCACTGATCTAGGGTGCATGCACAAAACTATCTCTCCCCCATTGCCACTGCCAGCACTGGTCCATGGAGCCAGAAAAGTTGGGGACTGCTACCTTACAGGATTGTTGCAAGTCTGTATTGCCTTGAGATCCTAGAGATAAGGTAGGATATTAATCTAACATATAATTTTTTAAACAATGCTTCACTACTCCTATACTGTCATTTCCCTAGGTTTCTGAGGTTATTTTTCTAATGGACCATTTCTTATTTTTCTAGTGCACGATTGGGGAAGGTTCTATGCATATTGACAAAATTACACGTTTCTTGAAAGAAAAGAAAGAAAGAAAGAAAGAAAGAAAGAAAGGAACACCTTACAATGGTATCACAGATAAATTAATGCAATATATACTTTCCCTTTGGAAACCAGTGAGTACAAGGCATCAGATGTAAATTCTTTTGTATTTTCAATGTTTTAGATCACCTTTGATCCTGTTTTTTTTCCACATGCTCTAATTAGCTATCAGCTATTATAGCACCTTCTCCTGTATATTCGGCCTCCTCTGAGGCAGCCATCTGTGTTCCCCTTGAGAAAAGCCTGAGGGTGTTTCTCTAGAAGTCTGTGATTCTGCAGTCTGCACTGTTTTCTCAGGGAAAAAAAAGCAAAACAACTCCCTACCCACCCCCAAAAAAACACCACACATGCACAGACTGTATTATTTGTCTAGGTCATCCATTTTAAAGGACTCTACACTCTTCACTATTTACAACATTTTAAATTTCATCCTTACCTTAGTAGGCTAGAGGTTTTTAGCTTTTGTGAGTTATAAGGGGATTGACATATCCGTTCCCATATAAAGTGTTTTTTTTAGAAATGAATTGTCAGAACAATTGTCCATAGAATGAAACAGATTAAGTATAGTTCAAAGCAAAGTTTTTGCCTCATTTTTTCCCCTAATTGATACACCCAAAATATAATTTGTAAAGGATAAAGTCTTTAAAATAGGCACTACAAACATGTCACTGAGTAACGATACAGGGGGGAAATGGTGTTGGTCGCAAAAGTACATTTGCATTCTCCTTAGTTTTATTTGGTTGGCTTTTTGCAGTGCATCTAATGAAAGTGCTGACACATATATTTTTAAAACAGGTTTACAATCTTGTTTAAGACCTGACATCCTGTTAAATCTACTTAAACATTGTAAGAAGCCGGCTTATTATCTACGGAAGCTGAAGGGAGACTTTTTAGGAGTTCTTTTGCAGCTACGTGATTACTTATGACTGGTGAGACAAGTGGGTTTTTCTACTAATTCCAGGTTTTAAATGTAGGTAATGGCAATTTCAAAGACTTCATCTGTCCTTTAAAATGTATTTGGTAGGTCTACCAATTGGAAAAAAAGTAAAAGAAAAATCTTCAGTTAGAACTGTATTTAACCCAAGTAGTCTTCGCTTAATGACTAGTCACTGAATGACCATCCAAAGTTATGACAGCCTTGGAAAGGGTTCTTTACAATCTGTATAGCATTTCCAAGCATTGTAAAATGTGGCACTGTCCCTCCCTGTGATCATGTGATCACATGCCAGGCCCTAAGCAACCAGCTAACATTTATAACCAGCTGCAATGTCCTGTGGTCATATGATCACGATTTGCAACTTTTTTGCCTTTTTTCATCAGGAAACAACAAAAAACGCTCATTGCATATGCTGGATTAGTTTAATAACTATGTGGTTCAATTAACTACTATGGTGACTCACTTTACAACAGTTGTAAAAATGGTCATAAAATCAAATTAGGTCATGTGGTGACGCACTTATCAACTGCCCTGAATTATAACCAAAGCGAATAGTTACATTGAACTGGGAAACTATGCATATCTATCCTCTGCTATATCTTTATGCTGTTGTTCTATTATGTTATTTTTAACATTTTTCTTAATTTCTCCCAAGTAGTGAAATTAATTATCTGTTAAAGCATAACCTGTTCTATAGTTGTTTGGATTTACCAGGTAGATTTGGAAAACAGTTTTATTTCTCTCATATTAATATTTTAAAAAATACTACATAAAAATTACAGTGATGAATCCAATTTTCAAGAAATTATATTTTTTTTTCTACAGAAATTATATTTTATCACAATTTTTTGTGTGAAAAATACAGTAATTCAATAGCATTGACAAAGTTCTGAAGGTAGGAAAATTATCAGATATTTCTAAGTTTTTAGAATTTGTTGCAAGCAGAGACATTCCTGCTTTCAGATCCTCATAAGAGAAATAACTAAAATAGGAATCGGAAAAGCAAGGTAGAGTTTCTGTTTTTCTCCTGAAGTACAACTGAAAATATAACTTGCAATTAAATTAAAAAATAATTACAGGGGAAATGACAAACCTTGGTTAAATTTGCTGCTTTGAGTTTTCTTTCCAAAATGAATGTATTAGTGAAATAAAATAATAGGCTTTCCCTTTGTAAAAATCCTTTCAGATCCTTTGTATGTCATTTTAATTCTTTTTTAAAACAGTACCTGGAATCTTCGCATATCTCGTGGGTTTCCTGCATTCTTCAAACAGTTTTGATTGCACTTGAGGAAAAACTTTAGAAAAAATCTACAAAAATACAAAATTAGAATTTGTTAGAAAGATTAGGCATTAAGAATAAATGTTTAAGCATGTAACATGTTGCTACAAATTGCAAATGATAGCTGAAAATATACTCATTTTATTACTGTAAAGTAGTAATATAACTAAACTGAAGACTTTTCTTATAGCAACAATATATATGAATATCCTTTATTTGAGCAAAGGATGGACTTGACCAGCAAAAGGTGCAATTCAGTGTAGATCTGTTTAAATAATATTAATATTGAAATCCTGATAATGTTTATTCAGACCTGTACATGATTCAGATTTCAGAATATCTACAATTTTATTCCTCCCTATTCAAGAATAAGTCCAACATAATTCGCAAAATTAATTTTATCTGAAATATATTGTATTAGTATAGAAACAGAAACAGAAACAAACCTAAAATGAACAGTTGGAGTACTTTAAATTGTTATAGAGTCTTACAATTTTCTACATGCTTTAGTCAAAAAGAATTATAGATGGCCCAATTGCCTGCATAGTATGAAATCTGGTTCCTGAAACATGTGGAAAAATGAATTTAGTTTCTTTCATTCAGAAGGGGTTTATCCAGGGGTGAAATCTAAATTTTTTTGCTACCGGTTCTGAGGGCGTGGCTTAATTAGTGGGCGGGGCTTGATGGTAAGGTGACTGGGTGGGCATTGTCAAGTCAATGTCACTTCTTTGCCCTTTTTTAACCTACAAAACACAACACAACACAACTGGCTCACCCACAATGTAAAAGCAGCTGTGCTAGACCCAAAATGCCCCTGCAACAAACAGGAACCTCACACAGCCACAAAAAGCCCAAAAAAACAACTTTCACACTTTACACACACACAACACAACACAACACAACTGGCTCACCCACAATGTAAAAGCAACTGTGCTAGACCCAAAATGGCCCCTGCAACAAGCAGGAACCTCACATAGCCACAAAAAGCCCCAAAAAACAACTTTCAAACTTTACACACCCAAAATTCCACATACAGCTTTGTGAGATTTTGTGTTTTTGTGTAGTTAGAGTGAAACACTACAGAAACACACTAAATCTCAGAAAGCTGCACAGATATTATTTTATTTTATTTTTATTTTTATATAAAAGCAGCTAAATTTAAAACTTCCTAAACTTTAAATGGCTAGGTCTAAAAAAAGAACAACTAAAAAAACCCCCCAATTAACTATTTTTTTTAAAGCTTCCAAAAGGGAAAAAAAACTTACCCAATAGAACAGAGGTCTCCAACCTTGGCAACTTTAAGACTTCTGGATTTCAACTCCCAGAATTCCTCAGCCAGCTTTGCTGGGAGTTGAAGTCCACAAGTCTTAAAGTTGCCAAGGCAGGAAGGCAGGCAGGCAGATAGAGCTGCTCACCGATGAGCTTGATTGCAGGCAGGGAGATTCAGTTGCTTGCTGATGCAATGGATTGCAGGTATTACAGCAAGCGAAGCAAGGCAGGCGTTGGGACCAGCAGCTAAGGTAAGCAAGTGTGGGGGGGGGGAAGGGATTTTTGCTACCTTTGGATCATCAGAGCCATTTAAAGGAAAAAAAACTTTTTTTCTTTTAAATGGGTCTGACTATCCAAGCTGAGTTGCCTGATTAGCAGGCAACTCAGCTGGGATCGTCAGAGCTTGGATCGTCAGAGCCATTTAAAAGAAATAAAAGGCTCTGATGATCGCGCGGCTCAGCTGGGCATGGGGGGCAGGAGCAGGGATTTTTGCTACCGATTCTCCGAACTGCCCGCCACCATTGCTACCTACTCGCCCAAGCTGGTCTGAACCAGGAGCATTTCACCCCGGGTTTATCCCTATGAAGAAGTCTCCAAAATTTCAGCATTTAAAGTTCAAAGATAAAACAAATAAATAAATAAATAAAACTTTTGATTTATAATCACTTTAGCAATTCCTGATGAAGAAGACAAATTGAGAACTGATGTTTTTTTTTATAGCCCTGAATGCCAGCTAAATCCTAACAGAGTAAATCTATCAGCTAAATCAACATATAAGCCAGGATCTCCTTAACTCAGCGGCCTCCATTCTGGAAACCCAGTAAGTAAGATTTTCGAGCCATATTACTTTCCATAAAACTAGCTCCCTTTACCTCAGGAACATCATAAAGCACTGCTAATAGTGCGACCAACATATACGCATGAGCTGACTGAGAAGTAATGAAGCGTAGAGTCCAGGCTATAAACATTTAAGTTTAGGATTTCCCTCCTTTACCACAATCTGAATAAAAACATTGTCTCTTGCTTCACTTGACCTTAAAAAAATCCAATTATTTCTAATTTCCCAAACTTTCCTTCATTTTGTGGTTCTTACAAAAATTGTTCCCTGTAATTAGTAGCATTGTTTTAATTTTCTGAAAATAGACCTGTGCATTTCACATTTTAGTTGTGTGTGTGTGTGGGGGGGGGAATTGTTTTGATACTTATGACATTAAACATCACACACATCCTTTTTTGGAGAGGGCTATGCCACTCAGAGTCACATAAATGCAATACATATATACATTTTCTAACATTTAGCCTTAAAATATGTTCTATGGCAAAGTTAAGGTAGGACACTTTGATCCATGCAAGATTCAGTATATGAATGGAAGCTGTTTTTTCAAAACCAATATATGTTTCAGCTTCTAAGTATTTATTGCATCAAAATGTAACAATATAAGAAACAAATTGTGCTACTATAAAACAAGCACAGAAAATGCCTAATTCTCCATTAAGAAATGTAGACATTTTTATTTCCTGGGGTTCTCAATAATATACACAGCATTTAATTGTTTATGAATCCCCCTGACCCTCCCACATTTCTCTGAATAAATCCATGAGTTGTATCACAACTGTCACATTCATAGTAGAGCTACTGAAGAAGATAAGTGGACAGCCACTGAAATGTGTTTGACATATCTATACTTATAAAATCTGAGCATCAAAATTTGATGCATTTGGACAATCCTTGGGGAGAAAGTTCCAACTCTTTAAATGGCCATAAACAAATGCTGTCATCTAATCCAAACCATGGTGAGGTTGACCTTGTGAGGCCCAATAGTCAATAGTTCCTAGAAAATGGGGGGAAAACTATGGAAACAAGAGTAAGACATTTTGAAAGGCAAGAGTCAGTTTCGTGTAGCAATTAAGGCATCAGGCTAGAAATGTAGGTGTCAGGTTTCGAGGTCGTCTCAAATAAATTGCATTTCAAACAAAGTCTTTGAAGAAAACTCCCATTTATTTAGCACGACATTCTAACTCCGACTGCATCGCAGCCAACACTGACTTCCAGACCCAAAACCCTCCCTTTCCGTTCCCCACTCCCCTGCGCTCACTGGCCATCTTCCAAGTCACTCTACCCCTAATCTACTGCTCCAGCTCAAAGGAATTTCCCCCTTCCCATTCCATCTCCTAGGGGATATTATCTCCAAGGAAAATAAGTAGGTGAAAAGTCAAACGTCCCTTTCCAGACACCTCTGCTTCTCCTTCTTATGTCAGCACTAGAGTAAACACAGCTTGAAGTGCTGACTGTAGGGGCTTATGAGTTCTAGTCCCACCTTAAATGTGAAACCAGCCAGGTGATCTTGGGACACTTATTCTTTCTCAGCCCTAGGAAGGAGGCAATGGCAAACCACTTCTAAAATCTTGCCAAAAAAATGGCAGTGACTTGTCCAGGGAGTCGCTAGGAGTCAGCACAGATTTGAAGGTACCAGGAATGAATGAATGAATGAATGAATGAATGAATGAATGAATGAATGAATGAATGAATGAATCTGAAAGGCAATATGTTTGCAAGATTGTCAGCTTTAATCTTTACAGTCTCAAGACATAGGTAGGGAAGGGTCCTGTACCAGTCTCAGAGGATAATAATATTATTATTATTATTAGATCTAATAATAATGTTTTCCCCTGAAATTAAGTTCCTGGCCTGAAGAGCACCTGAAGGAGTTTTTAGTGGTAGGCATAAGTGACTCCAACATCTGGCACAGATGGCAAGTAAGTAAAAAGATCCATATAGTGGTACCTAGGCACTCAACTGTTTTGAAACTCATCAATTTTGTACTCAATAGATTTTAATGCAACATTTAGACCATTAAGTACAGTTAAGTATTGTGTAGTCTTAAAGCAGTTTTTAAAACTTGGTATATTACTTTTCAATTTAAAAAGTCAAACATCTCTATGGACTATAATTGATCATGAAGTATCTATTCCATCATTGAGTTATTGCATTTTCCAAACTTTAAAAAAAATGTGATAGGAAGAGAAGGCATCATACAAATCAACTAGGCCTTTTGTTCTTGACTTCTTAAAAAAGCAGTTTTTAAAGCAGGTTTTTGAATACATATAGCAATCCAGGCTTGGAAGTAAATTCCTTAACTTTTGAAATCATAATCAATATGGCAGTGTCTATGAGAATTCATATTGATTCACTTGATGCAAATATTCAGAGGAAAAAAATAAAGCTGATCAACTTTTTTCCTCCCTCAGTTCTGCCCACACCCTACCCTTTCTGCAGGTCTTTCAAAAAAATAAATATTGAGAATAATTTGAGAGAACATTTATTGGAGATTAACTTCCCTTAGAAAAATCTATGGAATTATAGGAAGATATATATATAGTATGGTTATTTCTCCCTTTGCTTGTTCTTTACTCACAATGGGAAGGGTGTTTGTTTCTGACCCAATCTTTCTTAGAGAAATCTTTTATTTGAAAATGAATCAGTTTCTGCTCAAGTGCCACCTGTTAATCTATTTCTTTAGCAAACATAACCTCTTTTTCTTGCCCCTATCATTTGCTAATACATTTCTGATAAGAATAAGAATAGTAAAAAAAAAAGCTTCTTGGGAAGAACTTTAGCTAAAGAACTTTTAGCTTGCAATTGCAATTGCACATTGCTGTGAACAGATCATCATAATTTATTCATTAATTACAATATGTTATTATGGGCTATCAAGTGGGTGTCAGTACTTAGTGATTAACTAGACAGATTTGCCATGTA